GTAACAGGCTACCGCTAGCAAGCGGCTAACCATGTCTCTTTAGTGGCTCTGTAGGACGCGTTATTCGTTTTCTGTGCCTTTCCGAATACGGATTCACTATTTGGGCATAAGAGTGAGTCAGTATTAAGAGATAATGTGTGAACAGGACATTTTGAAAAATACCTGTAAATTTGTTCCGGCAATTTACCGGTATGAGAAGTTGTAACATTACCAGTAAATTACCGGTAATCTGCTCTGTGTGAACACAGAATGAAGATTACTTGTATGAGCACGTACGAGTTCAGAACACGTGGACGTTAGACGTCTACTCTGGGCCAATCAAGAGCCATTGAAATTCAAAATTCAACAGCTCTGGGCCAATCATAACATTCTGACGCAGATGACACAGTGCTGTTCTGTTTGATATTGCAGTGTCTCTGGACCAAAAGTAGCTGCATGAATGTGAACGTTTGATACCAAAATGAAAACATCCACAAAAACACTGACCTCATATACCCCTCCATGTTTACAAACACAACACCAGGAGGCGCAGCCGTTTAGAGGTCATTTCTGATTAATGATGTCACAGAATTTACCGGTAATTTGAAATCAATGTAATTTCAATGTTTGAAACCAAAATATTGGTCAGAAATTATTGTATAGTAAAAGTATATATAATAAAAGTATAGTGCATCTACTAATAATTAATATTATAATTCTAATTATTATTATTATTTTTTTTTTTTTTTTACAGATGCAAATAAGTTCGCGTCGCGATACAAATGCCAACTTGTATCCGATGAATCAACGTTTTTTTGTATTTTAATTTTTTTTATGTGGTTGATTTGACACGGAATTACCCACAGAGTGCAACAAGAATGTCTTCATTGCAAATTCACTCTTTTTACACCTATTTTCTTTTGGCAAAGGTCCTAATCCTCTGACAACTACAAAAGAACAAAGGAGCACATCACAAATAGTACAAAATTACAATAATACAAAAACCATCCAATACTCATTCACAGACAGGTTGACCACCTCTAAAATTAAACTGGGATCTGAAGGTCTTGCAAAAGAAAAAGCAAATAAGTGGATCCAAGGAGGCATTTAGTGCTGTGAGCAGGATGGTGAGCTCCTTCAGGATGTAGTACGCATGGACTGCTGTACAATCACACAGCAGGGGTTTGATGAATATGTATGGCAGTTTCACCAGTTGATAGGGAACAAAGCACACACAGAAAATGACCACCAGCACTAGCATGTTGTGCTTAGACGTTTTGAATGTTTGGCTTCCGAAACTAACCTGTGAAGAGAACTGAACTTCTCTGAGCTTTTGATGAGTCTTCCAGTATAGCAGAATCAGAGATACCAGGACAAAAATGAAGCTCACAAAGGTCATACAGTGGATACTTTTGTAGGTCACACTGAGTGGGGAATTGTGCCTGGATTCACAGGTAAAAGCATCAGGAATTTGACCCCAGAAGTTCTGTAGAAAGAGGATCAAGTAGATGGAAGACAAGGCTAACAAGCACAGCCAAGTTGCCGCAGAAATGTAGCAGGCAGTATGAACCATCTGCAGAGCATGGGTCTCCATTGGCGGGACAATCTTTAGGTACCTGAAAAAATATATTTATTTATTTATATGCAATCATGTACAAACTGTATAATATATACTTTTTTGTATATTACTATAGGGACTGTCCCCCTGGAGTGTCATAGGTTTGAGCTTGGGGAGAACTTGGATCAGTCACAATGCTTTCATGGATCAAAACCTTTTGGGTTTGAGCCTACAATCTTTCAACTGGAGGTGGATTTTACAGATACCGATAACTAGGTTGGACCACAATAGCCGATAACCGATTAATCAACCGAAAGTTTTAATATTTCATTTTTATATATATTTTTTTTATTTAATTGTATTTAATATTATACTGTAGTTAACCCAAAGATGAAAATTCTGTCATGAATTACTCAGCCTCATGTCATTCCAAACCCGTAAGACCTTCCTTCATCTTCGGAACAAAAATTAAGATATTTTTGATTTATTTGAATTAACAATTAAACTCCGCACACCTGACGGCAATAGATAGGTGCGTCGGAGGCAAAGACCAACCAGGTCAAAAAACTAAAAAGCAAAAAAACAAATCCCACACACTATATATGCAAAAAAATATCAAAATATTGATTGACTACGTTTCGGTCGCATGACCTTCATCAGGAATTTTTTTAACATGACATCACAAAGTACACCCGATTTAAAAACAGATTCATGAATTCATGACCAATCGCTGTAAAGATCCATTGATTAATAACAACCCGCAATAGGTACATCATCAACTTAAAAAACAAAAACAAACAAAAAATACCACTTTCATGTACATATACACATAAACATATCCTGTGCATACATACTAGCACATACATCAGGCCCAGATTGCATTATAACATCACATTAAATAAAGCTTCATCATTCATGCCATTAGGTGATAATGTCTGAAGGGTAAAGATCCAAAACAGTTCACGTTGATGTAAGAGCAATTCAATATCGCCACCTCTAGGTGGCACATTAACCCTTTCAATACCACAAAACCGTAAGGTAGAAACATCATGATTTAAGGCAAGAAAATGAGCTGCAACTGAACAGTTCGTATCTTTTCTCCTGATAGAACTCTTGTGTTCACTAATTCTTTGTTTAAGTTGACGTGATGTTTTTCCAACATAACCTAAACCACAAGGACACCGAATCAAATAAACAACATACGTAGAAAAACAGGTAATAACAGAGTTAATTCTTTATTTTTTACCGGTTCTAGGATGACAAAAAAAAAGAAGTTTTTGATGTATTATTGCACTGAGCACAATTACCACAACGATAATTACCATTTGGTATAGGGCTAAGTAATCTCTGAGAAGAATCAGGAGTATCCGTCTGAAAACGAGCATGTACCAAAAAATCTTTTACATTTTTGGAACGTTTGTACGCAATCAAAGGAGGATGCTGAAAAATGGTACCCAACTCCGGGTCAGAGGACAACAAATACCAATATTTCTTAAAAATCGATCTCATAAGATAAGACTTAGTTGAATGCGTTGTAATAAAAGT